TGCAGATGGATCCTACACGTGCACATGTAACAGCGGCTTCACGGGGGATGGACGAACCTGTCGAGGTACGAGCCTTTGAATAAATACTGAATACTGTAAACGACAGCTCTGTAAAGCTTTTCGATAGATTACGTTGGCTGCTAATACGCGACATCATACGGATGAGGAAACTTCTCGTACACAAAGTGAGTCAAGATCATCGTCCTGATTATTTCACGTCCTTTTTCAAACATGTCCGTTCTTCACATGCTCATAGTACTAGATCCGCCACCAATAACAACGTTCTGCCACCTCTCTGTTAAAGAAACTCAGGACTTAGTGTAGGAAGTTCGCAACTGCTTGTCGTTTATAGAATGAGTTAGGTCACTCATATATAGAGACATAGTTTCCTTCGCAATGTTCAGAAAAACACTACAGGATAAGTTTACCAATTAAGATAACGCCTCATAAGCACATTTTAAGGTTTTCAGATCCTTTCAGACATTTATGGAAGTTGTAGAATTTCATTTTTATTTTAAATTAAAAAAGTACCCGGTAGACGGTAATGTTTCCACCCTCGTTGTTCTTCTTGTTCTTCTCATTCTTGTTCTTCCTCTTCTTCTACTGATGTCGTTTGAGAAGAAATAAAAAGCAAACTGCGGTGATAAACGTAAGGAAATATAAACGGAAGAAGAAAGACTTTAACTTGACTTTTCATATGTTCCAAACATACATTTTCAGCAGCGGCCCGCCCCCCTCCTTATTTTTAGGCTAAACGGAAGCCCGAAGGGTTGAGTAAAATCATTTTCCAGGCAGAGCAGTCTACTTACTTGCAGATCTGAATTCACCACTGCTTACATGCACAGAATTGAAAGCCATCTCTTCTTAATGGTCTACTACTGTTCTTGTTAGGTCTTGAAAAGTTCACTCCTATGGCTATGACATTCGTTGACAAAAAAAAGGTCCAGCTTGAAATAAATAAAAGTCTTCTTATCTTCCAGATGTTGATGAATGCTCGCTGAACACCCATGACTGTCACTCCAATGCAATCTGCACTAACACTGAAGGGTCATTTACTTGCAAGTGCGACGTGAATGCGCATTACATTGGTGACGGGAAAACATGCACTCCTCTTCGTAAGCCGAATTATATGTTTTACTTCATTTTGTTCTCTTCGTTTTACCACTACTCTGACAATTGGGGAAAGGTATCCACCAATATTTATGTCGCCAAAGAGCAACCCCTCGCCTGCTTGTCGATCACCTTGATTATGCTCTTGTCCAAGAATATACTCTTAATGAAATTTCAAATGTACCGAAAGCGGCATTTGCTCGTTGATTATTTCGATTGGTTCTGACTTTCTTGGGTACTTTAATTTTGAGTGTATTTTAGGCTAACCCCGCCGATATTTTTAATTAGTCAAGTGGTTGTTTTAGGTATAGCAACTATTGGAGTCATTGTCAGTTTCCGAAATACAGCATCTTTTAAAAGGATGAATTTCTGATTTACTTTCTTTTTACCAGGTGGTCTCGATGACTCCGTTATTATAGCGAATGATGCCAGCAAGATATCGCAGTTAAATACCTGGCTTCTTCCCCACTTGCAAAGTCAAGACAGAAGTTATTGGAAACTGTGTTATAGGGCCTCTAATAATGGCTGGAGGTCACAGACCTTTCACAGAAATTGTGATAACAAAGGACCCACTATAACAATTGTTAGGGTCGGGAGCTACATTTTTGGAGGCTACAACGACAATTCATGGCAGTGTAAGTTTGTGAAATAGCTAAAAGAAGCAGAAGGTATCGACTAGTTGAACTGAATTAAAACCGGGGGTTATTAACCCCAAATGTAAAAGGAAGGAGAGACTGGGCCTTTACAATTTTCGCAAATAGTTCAAAACAAGTCTAGTCTTAACTAGATTGTCATTAATCACTAGCAATACTGCTAATTGGAGAGGATTGTGTGGTAAGAGTTTAATCAAATACTCGAGACATTGCTGAAGCATGAACTGCATGCTAAAATATTGCCATCGTTATTATTGAGAAAAATTACTGACAACCAGTAGTTTTGATTGGCACAATCTGGCACATTTTCCATGCATTATCGGTGATGACAACTGTTTTAGCCACTGGCTCCTCCTTGTACAACGGCTTGGCCGTGCGTTTTCCTGTACGATCGGGGATTATACATATCCAGATCATGAAAAATAAATGTTTGTTCGGCTTAAAACACTTCGAACATGGCACCAAAAAAACTGTGCTGAGTCCTTGAGCTGCTTTATTTATAATTTTTTTTTTTTTTTTTTTTTTAACAAGCGCGTTTGAGGTGGGGTATGGGGCTTAGTAGAGAAGGTCGGGCTTAATACTGCTGTACTTCAGCTGGTTCTACCAGGGTTTTTTCTTGAAATCTGATATGGGTGGACCGCCGTTTCTTTTAAATTTTCTAATGGAAAAGCCCTGGGGACAAAGTTGGTGGCAACTTGTGATGCTCCAATTCATGAGGATTTGAGCGTGATTTATGTGGTATTTCACACATTGTATAGTACTTCCCTGCTCTCAGTATTTACTAACCCACCACGGTTTCCTAAAAATACACCATTTTACAGCTTTGGGCTTAGTATCCTAGACTTTAAGAGTGAGTGCAAGACAGAGGTTGACCATGATAGATAGATAGATAGTTTTAGATAGTTTAATTACCAATACTTTGCAGCCCAAAGGCTGAATTGCGTATTTACAAATGATGCAATTGATAAAATGTGTCTATGAAACTAATTACAGTAAATAAAAAAGTGTGAAACATGTGATAAAAAGTCTAAAAATCTACGTACAGGATCTAATAATAAAACTATTCTGCTGACTATTCGTAAAACGATCGGTCTTGCATTTATGTACAATGAAGCGCCTGCTGCACCTTAGAGCATGACGATGTTTTGATACAAACGTCCTTTGTTTTCTTATGGAAATTATACTTAATGAGTACTAATTAGATTTAAAAAAAAAAACACGATTTACATATTAAGAAAGCAGAAATGGTTGTATCAGAGCAAGGTCCACTCCAGCCTCGTTTCCATCCATAATTGTAAAATGGTCTATTGAACTCGACTGAGCTACGATGGATCTCTAATTGTTTGTGTTCTGTTTTTTTCTCTCTTCAGGGTCTGCTGGTTATCAATATTCGACAAATACCTTCTTGTACTCACTGAAAAACTACAAGGGGTATGGATACTTCAAACAGGACATAACCAACGGCCACTATGGCAGAGCCACTTACAGCCATTATAGTTATGGTCCAATCTTTGGTGAGGGCCATGATATGATTATTTCCAACAATGCGGGAAGAAATACCTATTCTTATTTTCAATGTCGCTCGTACCTCAGCGGTCCCTATTGTGACAATTATCTCTGGGTTGGGTCACGATACGGGAATCATTTCCGCCCAGATGAGTTGGAGGTTTATTATGAAGTGCTTGCTTGAAACTGGGCAGCAACATAAAACAAAGAAAAAATAATAAGTCACAGCAAAAAATAAATAAATAAATTATCAGCTCTTCGCCTTTTACTATACTTTTGCTGAGAAAGAAAGCTTCCATCTCTTTCATGATATTTTCAAAGTAACTCCTTTCATGACAAAAAAGGTGATTAGCAACTAACGTGTACAAATTATTGTATTTGGAGCTTTCGCAGTATCAATAGCAGAAGTTTCAACTACAAAATGAGGTGTTAAAGGACCAACAGTGGTTAACCATAGCACGACTGGTTTTCTCTTTATGATGGACCAGAAGGAATTTTTTGTTGGTAGCGTAGTTCCATGTTAGGAATTTGCTATAAGGGAGTGTTTCTGTTGTTAGAACTTATCCCTGTAAGTATTCTTAGGAATCTCGAAGGCCTCCTTGTATAGCAGTAGCGAGTAGAGCCCCTTTATTGTTCTGGCGTTCCTATATTTTATGACTCTCCTTAGGGACCAATTTAACTGCAGCGGGGCCGTTTAACAAATAACGGCAGGTTAACTGGAGTTTTTAGTAAGTAGCTCGACAGAAAATTCAAATCTGACAAATTCATGTGGGTATTGCGTTGTTTGCTATTATATGCCGTTTACTACCACCCTCGTCCTTCACATGAATAATAGCGTGTCTAGGAAAGATATTTTCCCCGGCCCCATCTTCAACTTCCTTTACCAATTGTTTCTGCGGATTCAAACTGTTAAGATATTCGTTAAGTTCATGGAAACAATATTGGTCGTCCTCAGGTCCCAACGCGTCTGAAGTGATTTTGTTTTGAACTGATCAAACGGAGAAACCTTATTCGCGATAGTGGAAATCCCTTTCAAAGCGATTAAACACGGATAGATAGGCACAGCTAAGCTTGTAGATAGCTGTAAAGATTTTTCATTCCCTGTAAAATATCCTTGTATTCTCTTACTGAGCACAGATCAGTATTTTCCTCAGTATGACGCTCTCTACTAGCTCTCTCTTTAATAATATAGATCCTTTTGTTTGCAAGCTTGGCCACTTTATCCTTCTATGAGATTGACGCTATTCAGTAATACTATTTTATGCTATTATTGTTTTTTGTTTTTACCTTTTTAAAACAGCCAATGTTTTGTTATGGGCAATGTCATTTATTCTTAATTAATTTAAATGCCAAGAAATAGAACTGAATTGTCTTAGCAGAGTAAAGAGCCTCTATGAGCATAGATGAGTATGGTGTTCAATCCCCGTCGAAACTCAACTTGAGTAGCTAACATTAAGTTATAACCCCCAACTTTCAACTTCACGTTTCAACATTCAAAGTTGATAATTCAACTAACTACCAACATTTAACATGATCACTCGTTCTTGAAAATTAAGCGTGCAGCATTCTACTTCTATACCCAACATGCATGTAAGTTGACTGCAACCAACATTCAACTTGAGAAACCAAAAACCAACAACTTTGCAATTCAGTTCAGTATTCAGTACTCGGCGTTATATATAAGTCTGATCATCTTTTTTGATAGTCCGATGTTAAAAAGATATTAAACTCCTATCAGACGCAATGGGTAGTGAATAATTGCCGTCACGGATTAAGCCTCATCATTGCAAAATCTTGACCTCGTTGCACAGACAGCGTTGTCCACCAAAATGTATCTTATGTCAAAGGCTGACGTAACAGGCCAACCACAGGGGTTGTTATTTCCAGTCTCCGGTCTCCGGTCTCCGTATTCCCTGCTTTTCCACAACCTAGATAGCGGCGTCTGTTGCCAGCCACTGTGGAAAAGATATTAAGAGGAACATTTTCATTAAGTTCTCCTAAATCAATATGAGCAACAAGGAGCTCAACAACGTCAAAGACTGTTAATAGTGTTATTAAAAAAGCCAATTCGAAAGTTTTAATCAAGGGAGGAACTACGAGCTCCAGTCCAACAGCAGAACAGGTCCAAAGCCTCACATTATCCTTAGAAAACAAGCTGAAGTTTTAAAATCATTGCTTTAAGAGCAATCAGGACTGAAACACATCGCAATTCTCCATAGTTGATGTAGCTTTAGTTTCAGCTGCAATCCATTCTTCGAGATCTGATCACTATTCGTGACAATTTTCATCCTGCTAAAGACGCTAACGAGCTGGGCCCAGCATGACAAAACATTGCAGGAAACCGTCACATTTAGGGACAAAAATAAAATCGCTTATAATTATTCAGAACCAGGAGGCACTTTGGAGAAACTTAAACAACGTGAAACCATCATTTAGACGCATAAAGAGCTTTACATTTCAAAAGGAGGTTAAAGAGAACGCTCTTGCATCAGAGGGCAAATAGTGCCGACCAGAAACAATAATAAACCGCAGAAAATCAACATGCGTGCCACGATCTCTCAGTGTGAAATACAAGTGGCAAAAATCACATTTGCTCAGTTAAAACCTTTACATTTCTTTTCTAATATATCAAATTCTTTATTATCGATTGTCAATATTAAACTTAGTTCTGAGCGAAGACAATTACTATTCTTTACATGATGTTTCGGAACAAAGTGACGAAGCCCTGCCCAAATTACGTAGTTAAATTGCTAATTTTATTCGAAATAATAACTAAAAAAGAACTTGTAGTGTCTAATTCCAACAAAAGATCATTTACGAAAATGAAATCTTGTTCAAAAAGTT